CCCCATTATGTACTCTCTCTCCTTGTATACTTCCAGTAAATGCATATGAATGTATGAAATTATGAATGAGCGTCATTAAGAGAACAAAGAAAACATAAGTTACCCTTTTACTCTTGCCTCCTTTTATAGTGTGCAAGTGGGCTGTAAAAGCACACGGGGATGTGGGCAGCTGGCGCTCAACCATCATCAACGTGGCCAGCCTTGTACGTGAAAGGCACAGTAAGAGGGGAACTGCAGAAGCAAAGAAAATGGGAGGCCTCCCAATGTAATTGATGAAAACATAATCAAGAAAACGATGTAACGGATTTATTGTGTCTCGTATTGGTTTTACTGTTGGGTTGACCCATGTCAAATGTGTTGCATTGCTTCTATAAAGGTGAGATTCCTTGCTTGTATAAAGGTAAGATTCCGGTGGTTTTGTATAGATATTGACTTGACAAGCAAAACTGTTTCATTGGTGGATTGGCTCATCTTAAGCATGCTTCATTGTCTACATACAGGTAAAATTGCGATGACTTTGGATTTACTCATCTGGGTGGAATAGGGGAAGTTGTGGCGATAATTCATCACACACACACACACACACACAAACACACATACACACACACACACACACACACAGAGCCAGACACACACACGATCACACACGCACACATGCACACACACACAGGCACACACAGGCACACACATATAAACACATACACACATACAGACACACGCGCACACACACAACTGAGGGCGGTGGGGGTATCACGGGGATGCTGGGGGGCATTTGGGGGGGTGTTTTGTGTGTGTGTGTGCGGGGGGGGGGGGGGGGGGGGGGGGGGCAGGGAATTTTTTTATTTCTTTTGTCGCGAAGGGTTACTGGGCCACGCATCCGAGTCCCTCTTGACCTTGTCCGAAAATAAAAAAGAACACATGAGAGGTCCCCAGTTTGGGATTCAACGGGAATTCAACGGGTGTCAAAGGGGTTTCAACTTTCAACGGGATTCAACGGGAATTCAACGGGTAAAGCCAACTCCCCCGTTGAATCTGTTACTCAGTAGACGGGGGGGACCAAGTCGACAGCTTAGAGTGAGATGGCAATCACTTGTCCTTTTCCGTTATGCTCGTCCTGTCGAATTCGCAGTAAGCTGAATGTCCCGAGTGCAGAATTGATTGCACAGGATCTTCTTGATAAAGCCTTTTGTAATTAACTTCAGGTAACTTAACGGTCACCCACATACTTGCTCCRCTGGCGTGCATGTATTGAAGTAGCCAGCCTCCTTGCATGTTCTACACTGTAGAATGCTAAATTTACATGAGACGTGTAATGCATTGTGTGTGTGGGGGGGGGGGGGGGGGGGGGGGTGCGGAGGGAATTTTTTTATTTATTTTGTCGCGTGGGGGTGCTGGGCCACGCATCCGAGCCCCTCTTGGCCTTGTCCGTGGGGAAAAAAAAAAAACATGGGAGGTCCCCAGTTTTGGATTCAACGGGAATTCAACGGGTGTCAAAGGGGTTTCGACTTTCAACGGGATTCAACGGGAATTCAACGGGTAAAGCCAACTCCCCCGTTGAATCTGTTACTCTGTAGACGGGGGGGACCAAGTCGACAGCTTAGAGTGAGATGGCAATCACTTGTCCTTTTCCGTTATGCTCGTCCTGTCGAATTTGCAGTAAGCTGAATGTCCCGAGTGCAGAATTGATTGCACAGGATCTTCTTGATAAAGCCTTTTGTAATTAACTTCAGGTAACTTAACGGTCACCCACATACTTGCTCCGCTGGCGTGCATGTATTGAAGTAGCCAGCCTCCTTGAACATCTCTCATAACATGTTCTACTCTGTAGAAAGCTAAATTTACATGAGACGTGTAATGCATTGCTAAAAAAATGCCTGTGATTCTCTGGATAACCGAACAAATACCAGCAAGAGATCCAAAACCGCACCAATAGCTGAGATTGCTAGGTTAGCATTACCTGGAGGAGGATAGGTGGTTTCCCAAGGAGCAACCGCACGATATCACCTCGCGTGGTCCTGCATTATGAGCAAGCACGCACGGGGAATTATGAGTTTGATAGGTACTCCTGATGCTGTCATCATCATTTCAACCTGATGAATAAGCAAAGTATTGATAAGTATCTCATCTTCTGGCTAATGAGAGTAGCTCGTGGCGAACTACTGCTGCCAAATTCCTATAGCTTTATAAGTTTATAACTTTATATGCATTGCTGATTTCACAAGGCAGCCTCAACTAACCGAACCTCGAATTTAGGCTGGCGGGAGTGAAAGGATTCATACGCTGCCCCATTATGGCCCCAGTACCTTGCCCCATTTTCCCCATTACGGCCCCAGTACCTTGTCCCGTTTTCTTTTCTTCCTTAGGGCCAAAGTAGAACGCTCCGGTAGGTTCTGTACATGACAAATTAGAGATCTGATAGGATAAGATTGGTAGGAATAGTAGAGGGTCTTAGAAGTCAGTAGGTTGGGAGTTGCCGCATGTCCTATCACGGTTCCATTGCAGCTCAGTCCCAGAGAAAGGCCACGACAGACCGAATCTCTGTCTGCTGCGGCAGGTCCTGGCAGAGAGCCCAGAATCACGTGGGAGGCAGAGGCACAATCACAAAAGGGCGGCCAACGTCAGGAACCTTCTCTTCTTTGATTCTGGCATTTGCAGAAGCGCTGCTTCTTTGCTGGGCGCCAAGATCTTGGAGTGAACCGTGACGGGCAAGAGAGAGAGAGTGAGAGTAGTGGTCGATGGTGCTGGGTGCCCTAGCTACGAGCTTGCATAGTGGAGAGAGAGAGAGGAAGAGCAGTGAGGACATTCAGAGAGTTTTTGCCGCACCTGGGCTGTGATCTTGAGAAAGCTGTGTATATGATTTCAAGTTGTAGTTAAGTGGTGTGTGTGCTGGTAGGAACAGTAGAGGGTACTAGAAATCAGTAGGTAGTCCCAGTTTCATTACAGCTCAGTCCCAGGGAAAGGCCATGACAGACCGAATCTCTGTGTGCTGTTGCAAGGCCTGGCAGACAGAGTCCGGAACCATGTGGGAGGCAGAGGCACAAGCACAGAGGGAGGCCAGTGTCAGGAACCTCCTCTTGTTCGATTCTGGCATTTGTGAAAGTGCTGCTGCTTTGCTGGGTGCCAAGATCTTGGAGTGAACAGTGCCAGGCAAGGAGGAGAGAAGTAGTTAATGGCTCTGGGTGCCTTGGATAGGAGCTTGCATAGGGGAGAGAGAGAGAGGAAGAGCAGCGAGGAACCTGGGTGCTGTTAGTAGTAGTGGAAGGGGAGAGAGACAGAGGAACTTACCTGCTCCTGTTGTTGCTGGCGTCCATGGCCGTGGTCTTGAGAAACCTGTGCATATCATTTCAAGTTGTTATGAAGTTCTGTGTGTGCTTGGGCTGGACCGGAGCTTTGCATTTCTGTGAATCATACAAAACGTTTTTCTGTGCCTAGATCTGCGAATGCTGCTTTCACAAATCCTCCTTTCCTTAAGCTTGACTTCTGCACAATGATTCAATAATGGCCCCATCCATCGACTGTTGTTGCTTTCCAGTCTCCCTTTTCCTGATGCGGGGCATGGGCCCTTCTTGTATGGTTGCCACTGCCAGCCCCAGGCCCCACTCAAGGGGCAGGCAAATCCAAGAATTGGGAAAATAAGGCTCAGAGGTGCTGGTGGTTTAATTCACCCTGTTTGTTCACCACCTCCAATGTAGGAGGAGGAAAGGGGATGAAGGGGGGGGGGGG